AAACTGTTATCGTTTTCATCCCTTATTAACCAATCGCTAATTTTGGCAAACATGCTAATTTCAACAATAGAAACATGCTAACTACGACTTGCTGTCTTGTTACTTGGAGTCTTGCAGCCATTAGCTCAAACTACACAACAGACACTACACGATCATTCACCAGGAGAAAACCCCAGAATCTTATGTCAGTGTCCGTCTCTTTAAACCTTCTCACCCCATCTTGTGTGCTACTTAAAGGTCCAGTGTGTAAGATTTAGGTGAAAGGGAACTATTGGCAGAAATTTAATGTAGAATAATCCTCCTGATGTTTTCACTAGTTCATTTCATCTAAATTGTATGAATTGTAGTTTCCTTTACCCCAGAAAGGGTCCTTTATATTCAAATACTTTATATTTACATCGAGGGGACCCTCTCTATGGAGGCCGCCATGTTTTTTTTACATTAGTCCAAACTGGACAAACTAAACACCTTTTGAGTTTTTATGACAATTAAAGTTCACCACAGGTTCTTTTTCATGTTTGGAAGGAGAGGGTGAGGTGAGGGGTGTTCAGCTGTTATATGCAATTTCATTTAGCAAATTAGAAATCTTGTCATTGAGCCTCTTAAATCATCTTTAAAGACTTCACATATAGTATTTGTCAGCTGCCAATCAAATGCCCATTTTATCAGAGGCTTTTGTCTGTGGTTTTCAAGCGAGTAGAAACAAGCTAAAATTTGTGGTGCGATCCAGACCTTAGATAAAAACATCAACCATCAAGTGCATCTTTCTGCTTAAAGTAGAGGTACAGATTTCTTTTAGCCTGGCATAGGGCAGTGAATGAGTCGGCTGGGTTTCATGATCTAAAAGCCATTGTGCAGACACAGGACCCAGCTGTTACTGGACAGTAAACAGCTCTGATAAGCTAAGTGCTAATGACACCACAGTGCACGGCTTTCCACGTCCACGAGTTCAATTCACAAGAGACAAAGTGGAAACATATATGACAACTCTGAAGACGACTTCGACATCTCGAGATAGAAATAGTACTTTCCTTGTGTTTCCAGTGTCCGTGTTAGCATTCCTCTACTTTTTACACAAGGCTGTGTGAACTTTCACTTGGTTTGAAGATGGGTGTGCATGTTGGTTGATCAATTGTCAATTCACTTACTGTGTTGTACTGCTAACTCTCTTTCAATAAGTGCATAGGAGAAAAGTAGTCTTTCCATTAACCAGATGAACTGCGATCCATTCCCCTATCATAACTGTTACAAATACTTCTTCAGTTTTCCCAATATGGTCGATGTTGCATTCCATGTATCTGCATTTAACAGAAAGTTAACAAATTTAATGAGCACCACTTCCTGCCATTTCTTATAAACAGTTCCTCAACACAATGATGTTCAGCTTGTTCACACAGCCCCTCACTTTCAGGATGCACATCCTTAACCCC